TCCCACAACAAAATAAATGAAAGGAGCAAGTGTGAGTAAGAGGCAGTAGGACCAATGACCTCATACAAAAAAATTCCGTTCCACAAACATTTTTCTCTCTATGGTTTAAGGGCATAAAGACAGCAAAGAATGAAATATGCCATGAAAACTTAACAACATCTGTCTTTCCTGATAACTGTTGTAATGCATGAATTAGTTTTTGGACAGTAAACCCACAGAAGACATTTTCTCATTAGGTTTGTACTTTTAAGTCGGTGGTTTACTATTTTCAAGACACCATTTTGATCAGGATTTGCAGAAATTCCCATTTATAATGTACATATTTAAATTCAGGGTTTAGTAGGAAGAAAAATATAAGTATCTTTATGAAAGCAAATAGTTCAGGCTAGAGTGATGCTTAATCCTATCAAATGTTATCAAGAAAAACCTTTAGAAAAACAGGTAAATGTCCTTTTTAATGGAGAGTTTTCCTAAAGCCATGCATTGGCAATGTCAGTGATAAGAGAGGATAATACTTTACGTCATGTACAAAACTTTGAGTCAGTTGATTTCTTTTCAAAAATCATGAGCTTGAGCAGTCTGCAGCAGGAGAGAAGGGGTAGTTAAAATGACATCTTGGAAAAAGCAAAGAAGAAAAGGAAAGAGAAATATCTTTTGTGGAATACCCTCTAAATTCTTTAAGAAGATGTGTAACCATTATCTGCCCAACAGGGATAGTAAAAAACATCTATCATATTATTTTCACAAATGCTATATTTTTTAAAGGGTAAAGTTAATCAAGGTGTTTCCTAGCATAGTTTCTCCCTTGCTCCCATAGACCTCAGTCAGAAATGCAGGAAAAACTGATTTTATACACCTTGATAGGTATACAAAGATCAATAGCTCAAAGCTTCTTAGACTCCTTCAGCCTTACGTGTTTCCTAAGGAAACACCCCTGAATCTGAGAATTCAGCAATGTGAAATTCTCAGTTTTTGAATTCATGCATAAGGGAGCCCTCCATAGCAGTATCTTCAGCAGTCACCAGATTTGATAAAAATATTGCTGGACAAACATTTGTACTTGGGAGAACATATTCAGGTGCAGAGGAGTATCTTAGAGTGAGTGTAAAAAACTATATAGCATGTTCTCTATCTCTATTCATCCTTCACACCTAGAGAAGTTTCACATAGAGGGTTTCAACCTGGAACATAAAACTTCAGCCTTTTAGATCATGTTTTAGATACCTGCTATTTCTGACCTAGGTAAAATATTGCATTAGAAACATGCTGAAACATATCAATTCCTTCCAATTCATTTATTAGATGTCTAGAAAAGTATTTATAAAAACAGGTTTCAATTCAACTCAGAGACATTTATTTCCCTGGAATTTTTATAGAACTCAGCATATTGAGTTGGTACCAGCTGCAAAGACAGTACAAAGCCTTCACACTCTCTTTTCTACCATAAGGGACCACTGCCATTAAGGACACAACTTATGTGCACTGAAACATTAAGATGAAAAGGGGCATAGCAACTCCAAGTGAAATGTATCGAGAGAAAAGTGTAACAAATGTAGATGCTACAGGTGCTAGTACAAAAGAGGAATTAATGCAAGCTTATGACATTATGGCTGAACTAAAAAATTACTCATTGTGATGACATCGAGCCACTCTCAACATTCACCTATTTCTCCTTCAAATTTATTTAGAAGGAATTTCTAAAGAAAATAGATTCCACTAGGCCACTTTCTTGAAACATGTGGATGCTATCTTAAGAATTCAGCTAAATTGAAGTTTTAGTTATTTGGTTATACCCTTTTTCTATTTTAAAACTCAGGCAAGCAGAAAAGTATGCCCTACAACTGATTCCTATTTAAAGCAAATACATAATTTCCCAAAATCTTCATCTTTTTAGGATAACATGAGCAAATTGCATCAAGCTATTTCAAGGCACACATCTTGCAGCATTAGCTGCATTTCTGAAAGAAAAAACCTCTTAGTAAAGGCAGTTTCTGACCCTGAGGAGATTTCCATGGAAGAACTGCTGAGTCAAAGCATGTTTGATTTGCTCTTTTTGCTAGTAGACAGACTTGCAGCACAAATCCACTCTCTCTGAATTCTTGGCTACATATTACATATATAGGTGCTAATAGATTTAGATAAAATTATGGATACTGATTTTTTAAATATAAAAGATTAATAGTAACATTGGCTATCAAATTTTTCACATCTGAACAGATATATGCTGACTTAGATGTGGTATCTAGAGGTACAAATATTATTTATCTATATCTGCAGTTAAAAAGGAGAAACGTCAGTCATATTTTAGGATGCAAAAATTATTTTATCATATAAAAAATCATCCCAACACACATTTTAAACCAAAGTCCTCTACCCAAACCTAAAAGGTGCCTGTAGATTCATTGTTTTGACTGCAGTGCAGTTTCTAGATCAAGTCTTTAAGCCAATGTGATGTGATTTGAACTTGGACTTGACCTGTTGTCCATGTATACTAAAAGGCACTACTGCTTAGAGAGGCACATCTATGACAGAGAAAAGCACTGAAAAGTACTTAAAAGCCCCTGCTCTCTTCTTCTGTAACTTTCAGAAAGACACAGATACCAGCACATAGCCATACTTGCTTTTCTAGCTTTGGTAATTGCCAGTTTTCTTTAACTTTTCTCACATTCAGAAGTAAGCTGTGCAATTACTATCAAAATTGAAGCCAGGGCTGATCAAAATTAATTATGAGCTGTGAGATGGGAGTAATGAAAAAAAGAAAGAACAGCAGAACAGCAACTGGGCTTATGACATTAAAAATACAAATAACAGGCAAATCTGTCTCATCCTGACAAGTGATGCACTCAGCATATCTGTCATTCCTTTCATCATGCAGATGACTTCTCAGTAGCTCTCAACACATAATACTGCAATCCCTTCTTTCTAACAAATTTCTGTAAGAGCTGTCAACTTTGTAAAACTTCTGGTTGAAAAATCATATTTCATAATTAATCTATTTGAGAACCCTGTAGCTTTAAAATATTTTTTTGCTTCATTTTACACTGACTATTTTCTTTTTAATTAGCATGAAGCCTAGTTACTTTAAACCAGGAGACAAAGAGTGCCAAACATAACCGATCTAGGAGACTGGAAAACAAACAGGTGGGAAAATTAATAATAAGTACTCATATTTATGCTTGCTATAAAAAGAGTCTTTGTGTTAGAGGAAGAGAGATAATGCATGACATGCCATCTGGTTTGCCTGGAGATGGGACAATGAAGTTTTCAGATCACAGCTGGTCCTAGACAAGACATTATCAACCCAGTGCTAGAATAGAATCAGTCCATGGACAATGAAGAATAGGACAAAGCAAGAAAGTGCTTCATCTGGCAGGGCTCGGAAGCAGTGCTATTGGCAGTCACATCTGCATGTTCAGCTGGGAGATTGATGTACTCCTTAATCTCCTGTTTTATTAAACTTTTGCAACAGGATCTATGAATTAACACTTTCAGCTAAGTCCTTTTAGGTAGCAGATTCTGTCTCATCCTGTTGAAGAGTGCAGTAGTCACAAATGTGTAATAGCAAGTATTTATACTATGTTTCCAGCTTGTAAAACATGGGCAAAACATCCCTTTGTAATAACTCACAGGTAGCAAAAGTTCCTTCCTCTTGGAGTATCAAACAGAAACTCCACTCAGATACATTAAATTGTCCAAAGATAGTTACTCAATCTCTACTACTCATGCAAGCTTATAGATTCTCTCAAAAATGGGAAGAGTTTCTCATAAGAGCATTTTGGTGTAGAGGCATACAGTTAACTTGATGGAGAAGTGTTGGGACACAGTCTGGAGTTGCCCCTTTTCCCTGGAGAACTGTAAATTATTACGTCCCTGGTGCTTACACGGGAAATGTTAGGCAACCCAAGATCGCATTTCACTTCAGCAGAGTCAAGCTAAGGTTTTCAGTTATTTTCAGAGTGATATGTGACCAATCTCATCTTATACAGACCAAGAAAAACCAGATGTTGAGAGGGAAAGTGCTCCATGGGTTCTGTGACAACTTCTACTACAATAATAAGTAAAAGAGTATGATAGAGAGAAAATTATTTTTCTAGGATGGTTTAATGCTGTGTGACTATTTCTGTTAAAAGCAGGCATCACAGCATCATTACTTTTTAAGTATGAAACATACTTCTGACCTTGTCTGTCCTGAAAGAAGTACACACTAGAACATATCTTAAAATAAATTTGCAAAAGCCAGAGAAATATACTGAACAAATGACACAAACTCCAAACAAAATCCTCATTCAAACACAGCTATCCCATGGGAGCTACATGCAAAAGAGCATGTGGAGAACACATTACAAATATTACTCATATTGCTCAGAAAACTGCCAAAAGGGTCTTAAAATAACACATAAAGGGGGAAAAAAATCACTGAGGGAAACTCTGGATTTCCTTTTATGTTAGCTTTACTTTAAAAATCTTTAGATTGTCTGACTTATCTGCGCTTAAAATGGTATCTCCGCTTTCATAGAGACATCCATATGTTCGCATAACACTAGGTAATACAAATTCCACCCATTCTAGGGGTTCTGCTATTGTGATAAAGTTCACTCATTTTAACACTTGATTCACAGGATGGATAGAACAATGTATATCCAGCTACAGATAAAAAAACTAAATTCAAAAATGACCTTCAAATATGGTATCTTTTTTTTCCATAAAGTACAGGAATCTTTCTGGTATCTTAGCTGTTAGTCTCCACATTAGCATGTTTCTGGCTTTAGTAGTATCAATAATGCACATGAACTGAAAGTACAGAAAACACAATGGTTGCAATTAATTATATGCAAACATTTTTAAATATTCATTGTCTTTCCTGACTGATAAAAATCCAACCACCATATATTCAGATACAGGAATGCTTGAGCATATTGTCACAGCTGGTATGTGATATCAGACATACTCTCTGAGTATTTATTTAATATAAATTCCAGTTTTTACAAATGTTTACTTACCAATCCTGCACAGCATTGAAAGAGTCTTCATTTGTGATGTCATACATTAAAATGAAGCCCATGGCACCCCGGTAGTAAGCTGTGGTAATTGTTCTGTACCTCTCCTGGCCTGCTGTGTCCTGAAACAATAACAAACAAAATTTTTACATTACACATAAATTGAAAACATTTTTTTTCTTTTATAGAAAAGGAACAGTTCTTGTACAACTCTGTAATCCTGAAAATAAGTAGAAATAGGAGAACTCTGCATTGGATCATAACAGGAGGGATGTACCAATTCTGTTATGAGGGGAGAGTGGAGAGCAACAGAAAGGCATGGCCCCTGTCATCCCATATATTCTGAGTCATTAGTGATTCATTTTATTCACTCTGAGAGTTGGGTAAGAACTTTATCTTCTGATTCTGCCTTGTACCTTCCCAGTGGGACAGAAGTCTGGATAAAATGCTGGAACAAAATAGCATCCTTAGAACCTTAATTACAAGAACAGGATGGATCCTGAAACCAGGAAACATCTGGAACAAAAAGACACTGTCTAATTTTTCTGTTCTTGTGATTTTAATCTACAGGTACTCATGTCATCAAACACCAATACAGATTTTTGCTGACCAAAAAAATAAACAAAAACAAAAACAAAAACAAAAACAAAAACAAAAACAAAAACAAAAAACAAAAACAAAAACAAAAACAAAAACAAAAACAAAAACAAAAACAAAAACAAAAGACCAAAACCAACAACAAAAAACAAAACAAAACAAAACAAACCCCAAAAACCAACCAAACAAAAAAAAAACCAAAAAAAGCCCAATTTGCAATCTGTCCCTTACCTCAACCCAGTTTTCTCTCTCATCTTAATCAACTGTCTTTAAAGCAAGAAATGTAGAAATATAAGCCTTATCTCTTATTCCTAGCTTTCTTTATTCTCATTAAAAACTTTTCATGGTAGCAACAAGTTTTTAATAAATTTAATGCAATATCCAGAATAGTGTTTAGTCTAGAGAAAATAAGGCTGGCAGCAGGTCTCATTAATGCTTTTATTAATATAATACAAATATTTCAAGACAGATGCCAAGAGGATGGTACCAGACTCTTTTAAGTGGTGCCCACTGACAGGACAAGGAACAATGGCCATAAACTTAGCACAGAAAGTTTCACCTCGGCTTGATGAAGAACTTCTTTACATTGAGGGTGGCACTGGAGTAGGCTGCCCAGGGTGGTTGTGAGTGTCCCTCTCTTGGGAAACCCAACCCCCACCTGGATGTGTTCCTGTGTCACCTTCTCTGGGTGACTCCACATTGGCCCAGGGGTTAGACAAGATGATCTCCAGGGGTCTTTCCCAACACTAAGTATTCTCTGATTCTGTAATACAACCACCTATGTCTGCACTAAAATTGAGACACAATAGAAATATATGAAATATAGGAAATGTATAACTATTTAATGTTCCAGCCCACCTATTTGATATTTTAAGCCATTAATATAAATAGCATTACAGGAGACATATTTCAGTGCAATCCTGTAATTAACAGATCATCTGTGCAAATTTAATTTTAACAAACTTTGAAAATTAATATAATTATTTCCAATGTTTTTTCAATAGCTAGAAAATTAAACAGATAAAATCATTTCATTTACCTTCCTACAAAGAAGACTAAGCAGTAACAAACATATTTGGTATATTTTCTGAAATAGTTTCTAGGCCAGAAGTACTTCCTTGTGAACAAATGAAAAATAGATTAGGCAGGCCTCCATTTCTGCATATATATAATCTTTTTAATAGAGTAATAAAAGAAGAAAAGGAGATTCTACATGCGACAGAAAATACTTTTAGATTAAAAAAAATATCAATGGTCATCACTGAAACTAACATTAGGTAGAATATATGATTCCTGTTGGTCCTGCATTAGAGTAGCTGCTGCTTTGATGTAGTTCCAGTGATTCAAGATGGAAAGCTAAAGTAGTAGTTAGACTTTAGCGGGTCTCACATGAAGTTATATCTTTGTGGGAAAGGCCAGGCAGACCTAAACTATTTCTGTTTATGCTCTGAACTGGCTGAGCCTCTATCAGCTGTGATCTGGAGCTTGGCTAGGTGCTCCCAGATGTTCTGGTGTTCCTGAATATTAACGTACTAAGATATGCATTAAACCTGTGCATATTTCATTTATGAAAAAAGCTTTTTTTTCACTTTTTTTGTTTGTTGGGTTGTTGTTTGGCTTTGTGGGGTTTTTTGTTGCTCTTGTTTTCATTTATTTGATTAAAAAAATATATATCTATCTTGGAGGGACAGAAGCAAAATATGGCCTGCAGCAAGCATTTGACCTGTCCAGGAGGGGATTTTCAAACAAATTTTATCAATGTCTATCTGCTTAGTTGTTATTTAGATACATGTTTGATTAGAATATATGACAAGCAGGAGGCCACTCTTACTGAAGACAATTTCATTTTGCTCTGGGTGGTTTCCACTGAAGTCCACCTGCAAATAAGAGTGAAAAGCCCTATCAATAAAGCCAATGATGCTTTCTGTCACGGACATCAACTATCTTCTGTTTAGTGGGAAGCCATGTAAGGTGGGCTTAGGAACTCTTGTTTATAAAAATAAATAATGAAAATAAAAAATTAGTTTAAAGGATGACAAATCAAGACAAAAGTTCTTAAATGATTTTACACAAAGGGGCAGGAAGCTGTAGATAAAGACCCAAACACTGACTGACTTTGGGACAGAAGATGCTTGTGTGGACCCAAGTTTCTCAGTCTGGGAATGAACCAGGTATTTGGAGTTGTTCTCAAATTCTATTTCATAATTCTAAATTCATAGCTAATGCTATATTAATAGATGATAAAAAAAGATTTTCTAAAGTGTTATTTCAGTATACATGGCATAGTTGGATGACCATTAATAAATGGGATTAGATTAGTTCCAAATATAGATAATCACATTCTTCTTTGTATTATTTTATATTCACTTGCTATAAAGAAGAAATTAAAATTTTAATAGGCTTAATGCAAAATTTATGCAGTAAAATTTTTATGACCATGTAAGAAATGAACCCAAATATAAATAACCAATGTGTCAAAACTTTTGTGTCCCACACATTCATAAGCATGTTCTTTGTATTCAGACAAGAATTTCTACATAACTGCCCTAATAAGTCCTTTCATATGACCATCAATGAACTTAAATACCATTTGACAGGAGAGATAGCACACTAGAAAAATAATAAATTTTAATATTAAATATTATATTTTACTATACTCATTTTGTTTATTTCAAACAGATAATACTATGCACATGGTCTTTCTATTTATTACCTTTTATTCTTATTGAAGAAATAAGCATAAAATATTTTATTTAATATTTTATTATATTTATAGTTGTACATCACCATAATTGTGTCCTCAGGTACTGTTATATATTTGTACTTGAAGAAAACTTTCTTCAGCTCAGGTAGGGCTACTGTCTGCTGCTATGTTTTCTTAATCTATTTGGCAAGACCACAGAATTGATCTGTGATTTTTAGATTTAAATTCTAAAATATAACATCTGTAATTGCATTGACTGATGTTTATTTCTAAACAAATGAAATAAAGTAAGCCCAAGAAATAATAAAATTTGGCCTCCTATTGACTGACATTTTAAATAATGCAGTTCACTTTTATCTTTGATGAGCAGAAAACAAGACACATAGATCATGTTGGAGACTTCTTCATTCATGTAGCTAGTCTGGTAAGAACAGATGATTGTTTACTAAACAAGTGGAAATGCAGAAATGAATGAAATAGGGTGAGGGAATGCTTTATGAAAACTATCACACACAAAAGATAAAATGAGGTTTTTGAGAAATCTTAGACAAAAAACACATACAAACACACACAAAAATCTTAGCAGCTACAAGACATTTTCAAATATTACATTCACTTTCATAAATTCAATTTTTAATACAGATACACTATTCCATTCACTTCTGGTTAGCTGATCCTATCTTTGTGAATCTTTTTTAGTAGGCATCAGATTTTAATTATTAAATAACATTATTATAAGGTTTCGTAGTCACAGTAGTTTAGAAATTGTCCATTTTCTGAGCATTGTATACAGCACATTAGCTAATAGCCCACAGTCTTGAGTATTTGGAAGACTCTGATACTTTCACAGATTTCCTTTTCATGTTTTGATGCCTCTAGCATGCTTCGTTTGGCTTCTTTTCTTAAATGATTCTTTTCATGTATAATAGAAATTAGTCATCTGCAAACCTTTTTGTGCTCCAGATCCTGATATGTATGATTTCATATTAAAAAATTCATTGTTTTTTGTGAGTGATTCAATAGCTAAAAGGACCAGTAAAGATTTTCTATCAGTAAAGGTCTTGAAGAGGGCACTACATCTGTAGAGAGGGAAAGAAGAATGGTAGAGGTACAGATTGAATGCAAAATATCTGGTTCTGCCTCTTGATAAAGATAGAAATCTGGTATGGTTTTGGCAAACTCTCCTTTCATTCCTCCTGATCATATATGTATCAAATGATAGGCAGACGAGTAATTCCATATTACCTTGGGTCTTCATTTGAGTTAAACTTAAAGCTGTGAAATTTGACATACAATAAAAAAATAAGCAAAGATATGTTAGTTGTTTGTACAGTAACCACACGAATCGCTATTTGTTCTGTGTTCCTCTCTTTAATAATGTCATGATTCTGATTGTTACTGTGGAACTGCTATATAATTGAAGGCTTTAGTGTATGGGGAATGCACCAGTTGCTGACAGCAATGCTCCCAGAGGATTGGAGAGATATCATGTAATAGCCATCTGTGAAAGTAGAAACATTTGAGGACAGGAAGCTGGCTGACTTGAGAGGAAATTTTGTGTTTCACATGAAGATTTAGGGGGCTGGAAAGTCTCAAAACACAAACCAAGGTTTGACAGTAATCCTGGAGATACTGTTTCATATCTTACTTGCAAAGCACAGTTATCTAACACAACAGAAGTAAACTCCTCCTACTGTCAAATCTTGCTAAGCTATGAGAATATGCCATGCCAGTTTAGACTTTGCCAGTGTTTTTGCAGGCAGTTAAATAGACACTTGAATTCATCTGTTGTGTGCCCTCCCTCTCACCCACACCTAGAAT